TAGAACAGTGCTTCTCAAACTTACGTAGTTTATAGACTCCTTTTAAAGGAAAAAAATATTGTGGATCCTAGTGTTAATTGATGATTTTTTAAAAGCTAAATTGCTATTAGATGGGAATATGGTACTGGCTGTTACATTGCAAGTTATTTTGGAGTTCATTGTGTCTGTCCTGCCACCTGCCATGTGCAAACTTAAAGTCTCTCATTTTTCTATGTTTGAATCTCAGAGAAACCTTTGGTTACATAGTGCCCTGTGACCTTTATTTTGTGCAAATGCACAGTTAGGTATTAAGGCTGCCTCTACTAGTTTAAAACAATTAAAGCAGTTCTACTTGGTGCTGATGCAGTGATAAATATAAATGTAAACATGGCAACTGAAATCCTACAACAGTGCTTTTTTTAAAAGTGATCTGAAAGATCTAGAATATGGCTGTTAATTTTCAAAAATTACTCACATAGAAAGCTAAAGTTTAAAACTTCTCAACAAAACAATATTGCAGAGAATCCTTCAAAATTTTACATGGTTCTGAAAGTGCAGTGTGAAAAATAAGAATTCTAAAGATAAGTGATAAGTGGAAAAGAAGTTGGTTAATAGATGATGACTTTTGGCTCACACTATTGCAGGAGTTTCCTGATGTCCCTGGGTATAACCTCCACTAACTGAAGTCCAGTGCAGCAACGGGCAAGTAGAAAGAAAAGCAGCAGTGTCCTTAGATTTTGGAGAATATTTAAATAAAATTCTTCAGCCTTTGAGTAGGAAGACAGACAGCCACAAGAGTGTGAGACCTAGTTGTCAGAACTGATGAGGTGAGCGCTTCTTGAGCAGTGGGTCTCAGAGTACAGTACAGTTTCTGACCGGCAGCATCAGCACCAGCTGAGAATGCGGATTCTCTGCCTACCCAGACCTATCTTCTCAGGGTGAGGCCTGGGGATCTGTGTCCTAACTGGCCTGCCAGGAGATGCTGATGCCCTCTAAAGTTGGGAGAACCACTGCTGTAAAAAGTGAGTTAAGGAAGAAGAGTTAAACAGCCAGAACATAACAGAATTTCAGATTTAAGAGTCTGCTTCTTTCTAGGGTTTGCCTAATTTACCTGGCAAAACTTGTTTTTTACAAAAGGGTTTTTTGGGTTTTTTTTATGACTATGAGAATATTATGCTTAAGAAAAACTATTCCCATACTCTTGTGCTGTATAAATTATCTTTGTTACTTTTTATGAAATGTATTTTACATTAGCTTAGAGATTAAAAGAAAAGTTCCTGTAGACACAGTATAGATTTAAAATACTTGTCAGGACACTGGTTTCACCTCTTCATCGTTCAGAATTTGTTCCCCTTCCAGAAGACTGATTCCAAAGGACAGGCAAAAGAGAAGGACATGTCATATCCAAAACAGAAAGCAAAACAAAGCTCTGCTTCCAGAGCTTCCTTCCTAAGAAGTTACTGAACTCCTGCTAGCACTTGGAACATTGTCAGTATATAGATGTTCTTCAATAAAGGATCAGAATTGAGAGGGGGTATAATCAAGTTTCAAGTTAGAAAAGCTGAGAATGGGAACACGTGATGAAAATACTAGCAGTGAGTTTTTGAGTACACTTAGATAGGATGAATACCAGTTGTTTGCTTTTTATTGAAACAATTGAGACTTTGGTATACTACCTGGAAGTTCTTAACCTCTTGGCAAAATTCCATAGTCTGATTCGGAAGGAAATGCCTTTTCCCTTGCTTTGAAAAGGAAAAAACAAGCTAAAGAAGTAAATGTTTTAAAAAATGAAAAACACCAAGAAACATTTCCCTCTAGAATATACCATAATAAACTTAATAAGAATTGAAAGAAAATGGAAGACGACATTCGTTACATATAACTGACAAAGATTAGTATCCAGAATATATTAAGGGCATTTATTAAAAAAAAAAAACAAAAAAAACTCTGTATAAAAATGGACAAAGGATCCTTCACAGAATAAGGAACACTTGGCCAATGAACATATGAAAAAATGGTGAAGCTCATCATAATTCAGCAAAATGCAAATTAAAACCACAATGAAATACCATTTTACATCCACTAGAACAGCCAAAAATAAAAACTCTGATAATACGGACATTAACAATGATGAGAGCAACATGAGTTGTCATGTGCTGAATCTTCTAGGGATGTTAATTGGTGCGATCACTTGAAAATAGTTTGGCATTACCTATAAAGTTGAGAATAAGCATACCCTTTACCCAGCAATTCCATTCCTAGGTTTGAACCTTGGAGAAACCCTTGCACACGTGTACCAGAAAATAGATAACAACATTGTTTATAGTAGAGAAATAGAGGGGGAAAGACTAAATATTCATTTATATGATAGAATACTACATATTAATAGAAATGAAATTGAAAGAAGTATAGCTCTAAGTGTCGGTTCAAAACAATGCTAAGTGAGAAAAAGCAAATCAGAAAGATGCATACTGTGTGAGTCCATATAAAAAGTGCAAAACTAAAACTGTTAAGGATATATACATATAAGGTAAAACTAAAGGGAACCAAGAGAATAATTAAAATCAGTATGATGGCTGCTTCTTTGTTGGGGGACATGCAACTAGAGAGTATGAGGATACTAGTAATGTTTTCTCTCTCAAGCTTGGCAGTGTGTTCATTTCATTAGTCTTTAAGCAATACTATAAATAATCTTTGCATGATAGATTTTACTTTGAGATTAGGAGGATCAATCTATTGGAGTAAGCCATTTAGTCTCTCTGTGGAATGGGGAACATTGTAGAACCTGAGTGGCATATAACATTGCCCACATTTACCCCTAATATATCGTTCCTATTGTGTTGCCCATTAGAAAGCTTTATTTGTAGGATGACCATTGAATTTATGACCTGTCCTGGGATAATGTTGAATGTAAAGCGAGGGGGTGCTCAAAATAATTAAAATTATATTTATACATTTAAAAAATACTTACGATTAAGAATTTGGTTCATATATAAATTTCAAATATAAATTATATTAAAGCACATTAAAAACTTTAAATGTTTATCTTAAAAAATAGCATGAGCTATTAAAAAAGCATGAGCTGTTTATTAAAAAAAATAGCATGAGCTACATTATTCTTGGTACAAATTCATATACTTTTATCAATTTCTTACCTTTAGCTGTCTGAAATACAATGTCACTGATATTTTTATAGAGGGAATATTTTTTTCAAAGTGGTCTTATTTTTAATTTTTGTCCCTTGAATTGTCTGCTACCTTCTTCAAAATTATATTTATAGTTAATACATTTGGTAATGCTACCTTCCATTGAATCTCTTCTGTAAGCTGTATTGTTTTTAGTGAAGAAAATACACTCTTAGAATATTTGTAAGCTTGCTATCTTAAAGTTGGAAGTACAAAGTGAAGGTTTATTAAGCTTAGTAATGACAGTGATGATAATTCCAAAGAAAATAAAATGAAAAACAAAAATCTAGTTTAACTAGTAAACAGGAAAGGTGCGAACAGACCAGGTGTCAGCCAGCCAGCCCTGTCTTGGGCAGGTACACAAAATGCCTGCAGTTTAACATCTGCACAAGCACAGTCTGTCCATTTGCTCACCATTCGACCTGAGGTGGTTGCTAGTCAAGTTCCTAGCTGTCAGACCCTGCGGTGAGACTTCGTTCCAGATATGGCTTGAACAGTTCTGTTGGTAGGAGATAAAAATACATACAACGATCCTTGAAAGTTACAAGTTTGCAGAAGAAAATATATTAGTTAAACTATTAAGTTGGGAAAATTTGGGGAAGGGAGTGTAAAGGAAATAAGTCAAATTTTTGAAGTACTGGGCATTTTGCACCAGAAAAATTGAGCCAAATCACTAAGTCTCAGGATTATTTCTTATTCCCATTGGTACACTTTTGTGAGACAGTCCACATATATGGCTTGAATTTATGGAAATACTGATTTTTTACTTCTCGTTTTACATGTGACTTATTTTAAGTATCCTTTCCTGTGGAACAGTCATGCTGTAGCAGCAAATGATTAGCTCTTTGATATACACCAAGCTGTGTGTCTCTTCAGACCTTCTTTAATACTAACCTGTTAAGTCCTTCGTATAGTCAGACCATCTTGACCAACCTTGTGAATCGCTGGGTGACGTATCCCAGATGATTTTGAATATTTTACTGAAATATTTTCAGAATGCTATATTTTTTCCTTTAAAAATACCTTTTCAGAAAAATATTTTCAAATGCACCTTTTGAAAAAAATTTTTTCCGGTAGCAAGAGACCACTCCCTCCATGGGAAGTGTATTGATATCCCACCTATATTAACATTGCATCATATTGTTCTCCTAAACAATTTCTAGTAAAATAAGTATGCTTTAAACATACTATACTGAAGCAAAGTACTCTAGTAAAATAATTTCAAAGTCATTGATAGAAAAACTTTTATTTTAGTACACATTATAATTTCTTTTCCCCTAAATTTCAGTTATCAGAAATTCTAAATTCTTATCAAGTAGCTGTCTTAATGGGTTTGAATTTTATTCCATCCTTCCCCTTTTTTTCCCAGTTGATTTTTTTCTCAAGAAAAGACAAAAGGTGGCTGGGCATGGTGTCTCATGCCTGTAATTCCTAGTGGCGGAGGAGGGAGGATAGCTTGAGTTCAGAAGTTTGAGTCCAGCCTAAGTGAAAAATAGAAACATTAGCCAGGTGTGGTGGTGCTTGCCAATAGTCTCAGCTACTAGGGAGGCTGAGATAGGAGGATCGCTTGAACGCAGGAGTTTGAGGTTGCAGTCAGCTATGATGACACTACTGCACTCTAGCTTGGGAGATGGAGTAAGACCCTGTCTTTAAAAAAGAAAAAGAAAAAAAAAGACAAAAGATAAAAGGCATTGAAAGATCCGTAGACAAGGAGGTAGTATGTGATATATGATCCAAGAGTATATGACACATGGAAATTAGATTTCACTTAATAATAGATCTAAGTAGGTGAACATTACTTAATACATAAAATGCTTTTATTTCTTTTCTCTATAGCTTTAAGGAAAAGTAGAAATAACTTCTGACTTTACGGAATAGCAAAAATTAAGTGACTACACTGCAAATCATGGCACTACCATTCCGGAAGGACTTGGAAAAGTACAAGGACCTTGATGAAGATGAGCTCCTTGGGAATCTGTCAGAAATAGAACTGAAACAACTGGAAACTGTTCTGGATGATCTTGACCCCGAGGTAGGTGTTGCTGCTGAATATAAATGAAATAACCTCTCAAATCCTTTGAAACTAAGCTGCCTTTGAGCAGTTAGCTTTTCCATGACCTTTCCCTGGCACCCTCCACACCCCGCTCTTCTTCATCCAAATGAACTTGCCTTTTGCTGCTTCTCCAGTTCCCCTGCTTTTGCCTCCATTTGTTTACTGACAAGACTTCTAAACTATCTTCTCCAATATCCTTGTTTTCAAATTTTCAAACATCTCCTGAAATTCTTTCTCCTCTAAGACATCTTTTTTCTCTGTGCAGGAAAGGATATCTTTAGTAAGATACAGTGCAAATGGTTAGTTATTTGATATATGAGACACCTCCATGTCTCTTCAGAACTTCTATACCAGGATGGCTGCAACACAGATGTCTCCAGAAGGTTCTTCAGGACCTTAAACCTAATTGTTACCTTTCTGAAAGATGCTGACCAAATTGAATAAGTTTTTAGTCATTGGTAGAATAGATAAGTAGCCTCTTGGCAATACAAGCAGCCCACTGTGAAACAGACCTGAATATATGTGTATATATTTTAATTTGCAGAGTAGGTGTTGTTTGTTTTATAAATTACAAAAGGTTAAGGTAGAGACCCTTAACCTTATTGAATTATTGTCTGGTATGGGGGACATAGTAAGGTAAGAACCTGAAGGTAATGGTTATTTGCTAGGCTTTTTTTAACTATGTTTCTTTATGCCATGATATTGATTTTAAGTGCCTTTTAAGGCCTGAGAGTTTGTTTTACAAAACTGTTTTTGTTATTGGGTGATGTGTTCGTACCATAGATCAAATCTCTTAACTGTAATTACTATTGTAAAGAAAAGTTTTCAGTACACTTAAGTCTGGGTGATTACTCAGGATAACAGTGCTGTTTTTTATCATGTTAACAGCAATATCTTCTACAGGTAATTCAACCTATGAGACCTATTTGAATCAAATGGTTTTAGAGTGAGAAGGAACATAAGAGTTCATCTACTGCCGGGTTTTTCAGCCTTGACACTTACACGTTGAGGGCTAGATAATTTGTTGTGGAACGCTTTCCTGTGCATTGGAGGGTGTTTTGCAGTGTCCCTGGTCTCTGGTCACTGCATGCCAGTAGCACATCCCCATTTTAAAATGTACCTGGGATTTTGTTTCAGTCAGGTATGGTAATAGAAGACACACACAGAAACAACTACCTTGAAAGAAGAGTTTATTACCTACAGTTCCCAAGAGCAGGAGGCATGCCATGCCATGCAAGGCATACAGGGAAGCACCTGGGTCAGTTAGGAGGCAGAAAGAGCAAGGAGCAAGCATGGCCCAGAGCCTATATTGTGGTTTCTGCGGGAATGAATGAGTGAAGCAGGGTAGACGAGTTTGAGCAAGTTGAAGACTGGATAGTTTAAATAATTTCAACAGACTTGAGGCTATAAAAGTGGTCTTTTGTTGTTTGGTACCTAACCCTGGGGAAATTTAGGGCAGGGGAAATACTGGCTTGGTATGTGAGAGATAAAAGTGGTTGCTGTTATGGGCCCTGGATTGGTTGGTTTGTGTATGAAAGGTGTGTTCATGGGGTGGGATTGGTAAATGGGGAATAGTGCTATCTCTAGGAATTATCCTTGGGAGGGGCAGTCTCGCTGGGATTAGCAAGTCCCTCAAAATGTCAAAGCATCATAAAATTCAGAAAATAAAAAACATGATTAATACTCTTCCCTCAGTTGTGACAGCCAAAAATATTTCCAGATATTACCAGATATCCCATGGGGTACAAAAATGCCTATTGTTGGCAAACATTGATCTAGTCCTTCTAATTTACAGATCAAAACAAAAATTAGGTGACATGCCTCAGTTATTACAATTAGAGAAAACTGGGACTAGATCCTTGATTATACCTGGCAGAATCTAGCAGTGTTTTCTGTTAAAACACAGTGAATCTCCTCTTACATGATGCACTGTGGCATCAGTCTAAAATCTGATGGCTTTTTTCTTATTTGCAAATCCATGACCTGCTTCTTATATGGAGAGGTTCAAATTCTAGCTTCTGAATGTATTTTGCAAACTCCCCAGTTACTGTTAGTTGAGACTAGGAGAGCAGTGATGTTTATTGACAGCATGGCACTTGTTTGGTTGACACTTTTTGGAATAGTTCTGGTGAAGAACTAGGTAAGAAAAGAGGGCAGGCATGGTAATTAGCAGCAAAGTCGGCCAGAGAAACACCATTGTAACTTACAAAGTCTCAGAAGATAGGATAAGAGCAGGTGAACCTGTGTGTAGTACCTTATTATATTTTAGAGGGCCACTTTACTATCCTGCTGCATTTGGTGTATTTATTTGCAACTCACTGCATTTTTGCAAAACATTTGTCTCTAAAAGATAGCTAGCCTAGGCAAAAGCTACTTTTTAAAAATTTCCAATGCTGGAATGTATTATTACAACAAAATTCCACTGCAAGGGAGAAACATGTTATTCTTGGTGGCATGCACATTAATGAAATTTTTATCAATTTCTTAAGTAAATGTGATCTCTTAGCCTACTTGATTAGAATATACTTCTAATGAAGCTCAGTTCATGGGTTTATAGCTTCTAAAACCAGTTAGCTGTCATTTATTTTGTGGTCAGAAACAGTATTTAAGGAGTCAGGATTCCAGCTAATATTTAAAACTCTGTTTCACATGGGCTTGAGCAAGCAGGTGGAGTAGTGCTCCATCACCACCACCATGAAATAGCAATACATGTGTGTATGCATTATCGATGGAGAAGGAATGTAACTTTTTATTGATTTGCCTTAATAAGCATTTTTCTTTAAAAGTATTTTAAAATCTTTATTCAATTAATATTTGAAGGGCAACCTGTAGATCCAGGTACTTGCTAGGCTTAGGGATACACAATGGGGCAAAACAAAGGTGGTCTTTGCCCTCATGATGCAGGCCGGTAGGAATGGGGTCAGTTAGTCATTAATCAAAATAATCATACCATATTAAAAGAATGGTAAATGTTATGAGCTGAGCTATAAGAGCTTATAATGAGAGGTCAAGAAAAACTTCCCTCAGGGGAATGGAGCTGTAATCTGAAAAATGAGTAGCAATAAGGGATGGGCTGAGCATTCCAGGGAAGGGGGACCACATACCTAGAGACCTTGTGGTAGAAGGAAGTATTGGCAAGCACAGGGAGAAGGAATGGCTGGTGTGACCGGAATGGAGAAGGGTGTGTGAGCTGAGGCTAGGGTTACGGGCTGAGGGGGCGGCAGTGAGGGATGAACAAGAGGGTCAGGCAGCTGATTCACTTGGGAGCTAATGTGACACTCCAGGCAAGCTCAGATCACAGCTTGGGCCAAAGGTGGATAGAAGTATATTCTAATCAAGTAAGCTAATAGATCACAGTTACTTAACAATGGTGCTGGAGGTGTGGGAGAACAACAAGTGAGTTCTTTAGGAGATAAAATGGACTTGCAGGTCAATTGAGAATGGATTCCTCATGTGTAGTTCTTGTCTTGATGTCCAAGTCTGAAGGTAGAAATCTTGTGTTTCTTTTTTATGGTTCCATAAACAATTTCGAATTACAAATACATATTTGGTGTAGGGTTAGGAACAGATCTCCTTTTTGTTTCATCTTTATAGGTCATGTTTCTGTGTAATGAGTACCATTATGTAAAGTGGAACGCAAAGGGGAAATTCATGAAAATTATTATGGATCTCAGCAAATGGCCAGTCGAAATGCTATATTTTCTACTTATAAAATGAATATTTCCTTTTATCATTATCCATATAAGATCACCTTATGATGAAAAATTATCTTTAACTCCACACACACACACACACACACCTACCTTGAGATGCAGCATCACTACCAATATTGGGAGGTGTTACAAAAGACGGCTGGCCCTTTTGTATGATTTCTCTGGCTGCCTTCTATTTTCAAAGCACAGGAATACCCAGGAATATGAGACAAGGCATCATACCTCTTTGGCTTTTTTTTTTTTTTTGAGACAGAGTCTCACTTTGTTGCCCAGGCTAGAGTGAGTGCCATGGCGGCGGCCTAGCTCACAGCAACCTCAAACTCCTGGGCTCAAGCGATCCTGCTGCCTCAGCCTCCCGAGTATCTGGGACTACAGGCCTGTGCCACCATGCCCGGCTAATTTTTTCTATATGTATTAGTTGGCCAATTAATTTCTTTCTATTTATAGTCGAGACGGCGTCTCGCTCTTGCTCAGGCTGGTTTCGAACTCCTGACCTCGAGCAATCTGCCCGCCTCAGTCTCCCAGAGTGCTAGGATTACAGGCGTGAGCCACTGCGCCCGGCCCTCTTTGGCTTTTGACAAGCAAACAGGTGGTGCTCACTTTGTCTAATTGCCCCTTATTATTCCTGGGCTTAGTGAAAATTCAGAGTAGGGACTACAGGAGACAGTTTTAATCCATTGCCCTCCAGCCCACCACCCCCTACTCCATTCATTCAAAAAAGCTGTACCCACATGGAAAGTCAAGGACTTAGCTGTTACTGTGAGTGTCTGAGGAGTGCCTTGGACATGTGTAGCACTGACAGTGGTTGTTGCAAATTGTTGCAAGTACATCCTACTACTCATGTATGTATGTATGAACACACACAAAAGTGGAACATTTCACATGTGTTTAAACACAAGTAAACATGAACCTGATATTTTGCTGTATGTTATCCGTGTTTTTATCACAAGAAAGTCTGTACAATGAAATAGAAGTCATTATGAAGGAATATCATGTATATAGTCATTTAACATTCTTTTGTAATAGAATTATTCTCTGTACATATATGTTGAGCAGTTATAAAGTATTAAGAAAACTATTTTTTATTACCATCCCAGGACACTTAAAAACTAAAGGGTGTTTTCTGCTAGTATAATACTTTCTGAAGAAGATGTTCTATTTCCTTCAAATGCTCTATTAGAAAATGTTCTAATTATGTGCCTATTTTAATAAAAATGAATTCTACCTAATTAAAAAAAAACTTGGAGCACATTTATATTGCTGCCCTAAAATCCTGCAATAAAATGTTTAATGCCTATACCACATTCCAGTCTATAATTCTTTCTTATATGCGTAGTCTATGGAAGCATATAGCATTAGTATCTGGGTGTTCATGATGTCTGATTCATTTTCTTTGGCAGAACGCCCTTCTGCCTGCAGGGTTCCGGCAGAAGAACCAGACATCAAAGACCGCCACAGGGCCCTTTGATAGAGAGCGCCTCCTTTCATATCTGGAGAAGGAAGCATTGGAGCATAAGGACAGGGAAGACTATGTGCCCTACACTGGAGAAAAAAAAGGTAAACCCAGAATTTTGAAGTCATTATGTGATAGCACTTGATTTTTATTTTTGTAGGCGGATATGGAGAAAATCATATTTTTAGAGGTATATCACTGGTAACCTTAAAGATAAGATACTGTTGGCTTAAAATTTTATTACATAGTTCAGGCATTTTATTTACATTTTTCATCACATTGGCCAGTATGTTTCTTCTTAATGATTTGTTAGTGAGGTTTTATCACGCAATGACTTTGTCTAACACTCCTTAGTTCTCTGCTGTGACAAATCTAAAAGTATACTGAAGAAACCTTTTAAATCCACTGGTATATTACAGAGTGCAAATGATGTTAAAGCACTACACTATTCTAACTCCTGTCTTTAAAGTGGAATGCCATAAAATAATTTATATTTTCAAAGACTCTTTTTAAAAGATATCCTACAGCCTCCCTTAGTAATTCATAGTTATAATTGCCAATGCTTTATAATCATGACTTTCAGGAAATTTTTCTCGTCCAAGTCCCTCCCATTGCAGTGTTTGATCTTACATATCCTCTGGTGGAGACTGAGTAAAGATGTGTTTTCAAAAGTTCTGCATATAATAGCACTTAAATGAAATAGGATAAGTTTCTCAGCTTTCGCAGCAGATCAGAACACAGTTTGGCCTAAAAGCCCAAGTTCTACATGCACTCTTATTTGGGATATTATGTATAGAATACTGGGGAATGGTGGCAGCAGTAGCAGAGCTGAAGATCAGCTCTTCCAGGCTCTGTTTTTACATCGGAATTTGTACTAGTCCAGGCAGGAAGAATGGGTTAGAGCATGGTGCTTTCTCCTAGTGAGACTCTGGCTTTTTATTTGGGAAAGAAGTAATTCTCAAGAAGTTTGGTCAGCCCTATGTCATATGGCTACCTCTTAGCTGCAAGGAAAGCAGGGAAGTTCATCTTAGCATTCCAGCCTCTATAGCTGAGGAAGGCTAATGAATGACTTTTGAATAGGTAAGCCACAAGGTCTACATCAGGCTTTTTCAAAATTATCCATTATCCCCTAGCCCCTCTGCTCTTTCTTTAGATTCTATTTTCCTTTCATCTCTAGTTGAGGATTGCTAGCTTTGCTACTTGAATTAGTCAGGCTTCTCCAGGGAAACCAAACCAACAGGATGTTGGGTGAGAGGGGAGAGGTATTTATTTTAAGGAATTGTCTCACATGATTGTGGAGGCTTTTTTTTGTTTGTTTGAGACAAGAGTCTTGCTTTGTCGCCCAGGCTAGAGGGAGTGCCACGGCGCCAGCCTAGCTCACAGCAACCTCAAACTCCTGGGCTCAAGCAATCCTCCTGCCTCCGCCTCCGGAATAGCTGGTACTACAGGCATGCACCACCATGCCCGGCTGATTTTTTTTTTCTATATATATTAGTTGGCCAATTAATTTATTTCTACCTGTCTCCCTCTTGGTCAGGCTGGTTTTGTACTCCTGACCTCGACCAATCCGCCCGCCTTGGCCTCCCAGAGTGCTAGGATTACAGGTGTGAGACACCGCACCAGGCCTGTGCAGGCTTTATAAATCCAAAATCCAGCAGGCTGGAGACCCAAGGAAGAGTTGCAGTTCATGTCTGAAGGCAGTCTGCTGACAGCATTATTTCTTACTTGGGGGTAGTCTTTGTTTTATTAAGGCCTTCAGATGATCAAATAAGCCACATTATGAAGGGTAACCTGCTTTACTCAACAGTGATTTAAATGTTAATCTCATCCAAAAAACACCTTCACAAAAACATCCAGAATAATGCTTGACCAAATATCTGGGCACCATGGCCCAGCCAAGTTGACAAATAAAATTAACCATCACACTACTGTTAGAGGTGGGAATGTCATATCCCTCGAGTGTTTAGGGCCAGAAAAAGGGTAGAAAACCAATGCAGAGTGTTTAAGTGTGGAAAGTCACAAAGATAGGCAAAGGCATCTGTTCCTTTGTATTTGTCATGGAAAGACAGCTGGTTATATTCTCTCTGTACAGCTATACCTTTAATCCTGCTTAAATAGGAGAACATGGTTTTAGAATAAAAAATATTGATTGGTCACCTTTTACTAGTCTGTGTGTTTCAGGTAGACTCTAAGGGTATAATTAGAAAGAGTAATGAACGTAGAAACAGAGAGATGTGAGAAAAAACTATGGATTTACCTGCAAAATGGAGTGAGTAAAAAGAAAATAAGAAAAAAAGTAAAAAAGAAAAATGAAAAAACTAAGGAATTTGAGAGAAAATAAGAGATGTGAAAGAGTGCTGCATTTATCTCAGGTGGACTCAGAAAGCTTTTGTTTCCTAATCTCCAGTTACACACAGGGATGTGTGATAGTATTCATCCAGTTCTTTCTCATTCTTGAGAATGGTGAAAATGCATAGAGTGTTATTTATTAGTTCCCATGATATTTTTACATAGCATGCATATTCTTTTCCAAAGACAGATAAGGCATAGAGCCTTGCTGTGAACATATCACTTAGAGAAATAATTTGCCCCAGTCTTTAATATTTTTTTTTTTTTTTTTACTGCATTTCATTTTGCTTTGCTAGGAACTCCTCCTTTCCATTGCTATCACACTTCACCCTTACTTACATTAAGATTTTTTCCCGTGCCCCTTACTTTACTGATGGACCAGAGCCATGGCTGTACTTTATATATTACACAGGGGTGTGCCATCTAATTCCATTTGAGCTGCTGACTCACCCAGTATGGGCCTCTCCCTTCCTTGCAGACCACTCCTTTTCTCCCTGTTGGGCCTTAGGGTAGAGCCAGCTGTGCTTTTTTTTTTTTTTTTTTTTTTTTGGTTTTTCCCTTCCCCATCCTGAGAATGGAATGCCCTTGGACTCTTTCCCAAGAGTGCCACATGCCCCACCTTGCTTTTCTAAAGGTCAATTTAAACAGATTGCCTTAAACTAACAACTTCCCATATACTTTCCAAGTTACTTATTCACAATTACCTTAGCTTTCCAGAAGACTTATTCACTCTTACTCTAAAAGAGGCTTCCCTCACCCTGCTGAGTACATGATTTCTCTGGAGGAAAGACAGACCTGATCCCTTAGTAAGCCAAAAGATCATGGTTATAACCTGCCTAAATCAGCAGGATTACATAACCACCAGTGGGCAATTGGTTTCCACTAAGTTCAAGATAAAAACTGGCTCTTACTTTTGTAGTTATATTTTATATGTGCTAAATGTCCCTTGCATATACCTCTGAAAATAGTTTTCCCAGGCACTGAAGCTGATATTTAAAATGGGCTGTTTAAATTAGTCACGTAGATGCTGGCATCTCCTTTTCAGACTGGTCATGCTATCATTTGAATGATTGACTTATTACTCCGTTGGGGTGAGGAGTTAGCCAGATGGATGGTTCATCATTCATGTTAGGACTCTATTTTATAGGAAACTTTCCCTGGATAACCACACCCACTTCAGGATAGTCCTTCTCTCGAGCATCATTTCTGTACATGATGTATGTAACACGGAGTACCACTTTTAATTATCTCAGAATCTTATACTATGAGACTTTGCTATTAGTTGTTTTGTTTTGCTTTTTGGATTATGTCCTCTTGATGAATTGTCCCTTTTGTTATTATGAAGTGACCCCTATATCTAGTAATATTCTTTGCTCTAAAGTCTACCTTGATATTAATAGAGCCAATCTTTCTTTTAATTGGTGTTAGCATATCTTTTCTATTTGTCCTAATTCTTCTTTGTTCCATTTTTCCTTTTTAATATCTTTCATGTCTCTACTTAACTTTTTGAACACATAGGATGTAAATTATAATAACTGTTTTAATGTCCTTACCCATTAATTTTATCATCTGTCACTGATAAGTCAATTTTGGTAGATTGATTTTTTTTCTCACAGATCAGATTTTCCTGCTTCTTTGCACATTGGTAATTTTTTATTGGATACCAGACATTTCAACTTTTGGGTGCTGGATAGATTGGTATCCCTATAATTATTCTTGAATTTCATTCTGGGACACAATGAAGTTACTTGGAAACAGTTTGATTCTTTAGAGTCTTGCTTTTAAGATTTGTTAGGTGGGACTAGGGCAATGTTCAGTGTAGGGCTAATTATTTCCCCACTACTGCAGCAAGACCCTTCTGGGTTTCCTACCCAGTTATGAGCCCCGAGAATTCTCAGGTTCTCTGATCTGGCTGGTGGAACGGGTTCTATTCCCAGCCCTGCCTGAACACGGGCACTGTTACTTCTAATCTTTCAGGTGTTTTTTTTTTCCTTGACTCAAGATAGTTTTCTCGCATACATGTGCTGATCACTGCCGTGCTGAATACTCAGTGCAGCTCTCTGCACATCTGCTGGGTTCTCTCTCAGTGTAGCTCTCTGCACATCTCCTGGGTTCTCTCTCAGTGCAACTCTCTTCTCTCCAGTCCTCTGTCCTGCAAACACTAGCTAGCTGCCTTGGTCTTTCTGGACCTCTGTCCTGTCCCCTCAGCACACAGAGAGTTTGCCAGGCTGTGCCCAAATTTCTGTTCCCTTCTCTGCAGCCTAGAAATTTTTGCCAGGCAGTAAGCTAGGTAATTGTAAGGGCTCATCTCCTTTTTCCCCCATCTCCCAGGGATCACTGTCCTGTTACCTGATGATCAGTATCTTGAAAACTGTTGTTTTATATTTTGCCCATTTGGGTTTTTTTTTTTTCAGGCACGTGGGTAAATTCTGTCAATGTTACTCCATCTTGCCTGGAAGAAGTCTCCAGAATAGGGTATAATAGATAATCTATTTCCCCAACTAGTGAATTTGGTTCCCCAAAGTAAAGAATCTATTTTGTTTTCCTCATGGTATCTTTCTAGTTCGTTATCTAGTATACACAAGCTCTCTGAACATATGTTTAATAAATAAGCATTTATTGGTGACCATACTGCAGCATTGAGCAGGTATCATGTGTCACTGGATCAAAACAAAAATGTCTTTCCAGGATCTTTTCCCATATCCTTCAGTGTGGTTGGTTTGAGCTTTGTGTGCTGCCTGTCAAGCAGTGTATA